ATCACAAGCCTTCTTCTCTGTCTATCCGACGAAAGTGCTCTTCTCTCAATCTCGAGCGCAACTCGCAAGCCCTCTTCTCTGTCGATCCGGTGGAAGAGCTCTTCTCTCAATTTCGATCACAAGCCCTCGTCTCAATCTCGATCACAAGCCCTCGTCTCTGTCGATCCGATGAAAGCTCTCTTCTCTCTATAAACACAAAGTATCAGGTACTTGTTCGTTGATTTATCGGATTTTTTTGTTGTTGTTGATGATGATGATTGTTGTTTGATGGATTCATATGTTAATCTGTGTTTGGTTTGGGGTGATTCTTGATTTTTCATTTGTCCTGGTGTTTGCACATGATGTGTGTTTGGTTTGAAATCTGAGTTTGATGAGTGTGCGAGGAACTTGGATTCTGCTCTTCTGTGTTTCAAAAATGGTCTTCCAACAGCTTTCAAGAATTCAGAATTGGATCTATTGTCTATTGAGATTAAGGAGGATATTTACATGTAGGAATTTATCTCCATTTATATTTCCATTTGTTCTCTTATTGGCTAGGAATTATCAGGAAATAATCTGGTTTACTGAGCATGAGAAAGTAACTAGATATAGAAAACTGATATATCTATTGAAGGCAAATTATAGTGATTTAGCACATGTATTTTTGGTGCTAAGATTTTTGATGTCATGAGTTGCATATATGTATCTATTACAAGGTGAAGATGGAAAACATGTTATTGGTTCATATGTTTGTGTTCCATCTATTTGTTTGTCCAGTCTTCCGACAATCTTAATTTATATATTTGTGCAACTGCACAAGAATGAGTTCCATCTTATGAGTTTATTTTAATGTTGTGTGATTCCGCATGTTAACTTTTTAGAAATGACCTCTAAAGGTCTAAAGGTGGCATTGATGTAGGTCTGATGGATAATGGTAGTAGGAAACGTAGAAGAGAGGATGTGGAAAATGATGAAGAAGAGTCGGACACTATTATTGTTTTGTTGATTTCTCTCATAGCTGTTTTGGGAGCTTGGTACCATAATAAATATTTTATTAAAGAGGTTCCCGTGAAAAATGACGTAAGAGCTCAACAGAGGGAACTTTGGATGAAATCCTTATGTCGTGATCCTACATGTTTTAAGCAACTACGAGTAAATGTGCACACATTTAACAAACTATGTGATGTATTACATAATGAGGGTGGACTAGTTGCTTCAAGAAATGTCACAATAAAAGAAATTGTGGCAGTATTTCTACATATTCTCGCTCATGATCAAAAAAATAGTACAGCAACATCTATATTTGTGCGGTCAGGAGAAACTATAAGTAGGCAGTTTCATACCGTACTACGTGCGGTGCTAAAAATTGGAAAATTTTATCTCAAGCAACAAAGTGACGGAATATATAATGAGAGGGATACAAGGAGATGGAGATGGTTTCCGGTAATTATTCAACTTTTATTCATATCAAATACATTCATTATAAAACTATGGTTTAAACCTTATTTGTTAAACTGTGTAGAATGCACTGGGGGCTTTAGATGGGACTTTTGTTGACCTGACTGTTCCAGCGAAGGATCGTAGCCGATATAGGAATAGAAAGGGTGGTATAAGTACAAACGTGTTAGGAGTTTGTGATGCTAATTTGAAATTTCTCTATGTGCTACCTGGATGGGAGGGATCTACTTCAGATGCACGAGTGCTACGTGATGCATTATACAGGACTAACAGTTTAAAACTTCCAAATGGTAGGTTGAAATTTTATTAGCTAATGCATAGTCTTAAAATATGTAAAGATATTGATGTATTTTCCTGTATACTTTTTTTGGTAGACCAATATTATCTTGTGGACGCTGGTTATACAAATGGTCCTGGTTTTCTTGCTCCATATAGAGGAACTCGTTATCATTTGAATGAGTGGAAAGGAAATACTCCCCAGACTTACAAAGAGCTGTACAATCTTCGACACTCTTCAGCAAGAAATGCAATTGAGCGGAGTTTCGGTTTGCTGAAGAAAAGATGGGCTATTCTGCGAACTGCTAGTTTTTATAGTTTGAAGACTCAAATTAGAATCATCAATGCGTGTTGTATTTTGCATAATTTTTTGCGTTGTGAGATGTTAATTGATCCTTTGTTGATTGAAGTGGACAGAGAACTAACAAGTCGTTCTAGAGTGGAAGATGAACTTAATGATGAAGAAAATATAAGAGTTGTCAGAACTACACCCGAGTGGACTGCTTTTCGGGATAATCTTGCCCTACAAATGTTTGATGAGTATCAAGCTCGATGAGAATAGCATATTTTCAACATTTTTAGATATTGCAACGCAATTACTTTTTGATACTTGGTTTGTCTTTGGCTCTTTTTATGTGATATAATGTTTAGCTATTTGAGTAAATTCTTACTATATGTTGTCAACTTATTATTTTCAGAATTTTTGCTGTGGATGATAAAGAAAGTATGAATAACAAGATGAAAAAAGGAACAAAAGCTTCAATGTCAATTAACACAAAAACATCCAAGAGGAGCTTTTCCGCCTATGATGCTTCTACTGATCATGCCGCTCATGCTGCTCTTGAAGGTAACCTTTTCATACTGTTAAGGAATTGTTTGCTTTATTCTTTACTCTTTAGTTAGGAATCCTGAAAGCTACAGGAATATGCATTATCTCTTTAAGCAGTCCTTTTCTTGTGAGTGGAGCCAAAACTGAAAGATTGTTTTGCCTTGCTCTTTATTCATTGCCTTAGTGACACTCAAGGGTTTTGTGGAGAAAAGTCGATCCTGCTCTCACTGGATTTTTTTTTTCCGTTAGATCACACACACTCACACTCACCTACTGTTTTAATGTTTTTGCATGGGATTTGTAGTAGAAGGTGAAAAAAAATAGAGATAACATCATTTGAAAGAAGGTTTGGTAATAATTTGCTTTAGAAGAAAGAAGAAATAAAAGGTACATAGGTCTGTGAAGATGAGATTCCCTGATGAAATATGACATGAGAGAGAGAGAGAGAGAGAGAGAGAGAGAGAGAGAGAGAGAGTAGAAGCTTTAGGTTTGTCTGATTGTGCTCAAGAGCAAGATAGAAAGAAGGTGTTATTCTTTTTTCTTCTTTTTTTTTCTGTCTTTCTTTCTGCAGAGGCAAATTGGATGTATTGGTACCTTAACCTGAGTATTACTATTTAGTATTTACTGACTTACACTACTTTCTAAAAGTTTTTGGATATACCAAAACAGCTTGCAGCATGTTGTTTATCTTTCATATATTCTTTTTTCCAGCATCATTGTTTACCATATGAAGATGCTTAATTTTCCGTTTCGAATTTAAATTTTTATGATTGAAATTTGAATCTTTAGAAGCTGCCTATGTTTTAATAGTTGAGATGTGTCAGGTTCTTGATTTTTGTTACTTACAATGACATTTTGTTGATTTTCTGTATGCAGTCACATCCTGATGCAAAAGGGATGCAAAATAAAATGATAGAAAATTGGGACGACATTGTTCTCTTATGTGGAAGAGATAGAGCAACAGGTCAAAATGTTGAAACTTTTCAAGAAGGTAGTGAAGCAATGGATGAAGATGTTGAGATTGAAGAAGACTTGGCTCCTAGTTCCGATTTCAGAGCACGAGCAAGGACATCAAGTTCAGCAGATTCAAACTTGGAGAAAAAAACAAAGTACAAGAAAGATTCACTGGCTGAAGTGGTAGGTGTTATTGCTACTTCATTTCAAGAGTATCTGACAAGGAAAAAACAAGAAGAGAAACCAAGTGGCATTGAGATACACGAGGTTGTATCGGTTATACCGGGGCTTACTAGTGAAGAAGTGTTCAAAGCTGTCCGCAAACTAATGAATGGCGATCTGGAGGAGTTCAAATTGTTGAAAGCCCTTCCAGAAGACAAAAAACAAGAGTGGATTTATTATCTTATTAATTCTTAGTTGTCTTAGAGTGGATTTATCATCTCATTAATTCTTAGTTGTCTTTGGAGATGTTCATTTGCTAAATAGTGCAAAAGACTGCCTTGCTATTTGTTTGAAACAATATATGTACTGTGTCAAACTTTTGTGATCTGCTTTCGAATGCTTTATGTGAATATTTTGTGATTTGCTTTTGGAATGTTTCCTGTGAATATTTTCTTGGATGTCTTCATGATGCAACTTATACCTAAGGAAAAAATCTTATTGGCAGGATGTTGTAAATTCAACATGTCTTGATTAGGGATCTTATCTTTTCTTTTTCATTATTTGGCTATGGCTAGTGCGGTAAACGAGCTCGTGTTCGTTTACGTTCGAACAACGTTCGTGTTCGTTCCTTTATTTTTCGAGCAAAAAAATGTGTTCGAGTTCGTTCGTTTATTCGTCAAAGTTCGAGTTCGAATAATTTAATATATAAACTTTTAAAATATGTTTGATTAACTCGAAATTTGTTCGTTCGAACTCAAAAATAAAATAATAAAATAAATATATTTTTATATTTTACATTCTTTATTAAAAATATTATGTTTATCTATAAAAAATTATGTTAAATTTTATATATAATTATTCTGAAAATATGTAATAATAATGAATTTTGAGAAAATGGTTTGCCAAACAATGAATTTGAAATTCATGGATTTGAAATTCTTTCAACAAATCCACCCTAATCCAAACAAGGTAATTCAAGGTAACGGATTTGAAATCCAATAAATTTGAAATCCTTTCATTTGAAATCCTTTGAGATTTCAAATCACTCAATCCAAATGGAGCCTCAATGAATTTATATACTATTTTTCAAGAGAGTACGTCCGTGCTCTAAATCTTTGCCTTCATGTCTTGGGGCCAACACCACATGACCAATATTACAAGCTGTGGCCGGATTAGAAAACAAATATGGTCACGAGTAAGTGTATATATTCTTTAAACTGTCCCACTGAGGAAAACTAACGACAACCAACAAAACAACAGATAATTTCCCAAGGAGACTTGTAAAAAAACCGAATCAACAAAAGCTAACCCAATACAAAAAAAAATGTTAAGGAGTCACCATTAATCCATCTGGATGAGAGGAACTCTCTTCTTCAAAGGCCCTTTAACTGTTCCACCAAACCTGACAGCACAATCCACTTCTCAAGAGCACTTGCACAGGACACGAACGCTACTTTCGAGCCTTTTATATCATTCCCGGACACTGCAAAATACCGTAGTCAGCAGTCCCAACATTCCTACTTTTTTCGAAATAGATAGACAGCACGTACAAAACTGACGGTGAAATATTGTTTTATTTATGTTCATTCTAGAACAATTAATCAAGTGGTCAGGTGTTTGTGTGCAACTTGGTTTTCCGTGTATGATTTTCTTGAAATGTTTTATTAGGAATTTTGAGTATCGTCTCATAGCCGTCGTCTGTAAATCAAACTCTAAACTTGTCACAAAGGATAATTGGATGGTGTTTACCTTTTGCACCAACTAGTATTCTATGTGGTAAACTTTTGACAATGTAATTTGTTGCCGATAATGACCTCACCTGATGAGATTAATGAGACCAGTGACGAATTGAAGGCATCGACCTCTGTCTTCTCTTCGTTACTGGAGCTCAACTGCCCAAGGGGAGAACCAAAAAGAGAAAAAAGAAAAGAAAAAAAAGGGAATGAATGAAAGACAGAAAGTTCAGAAAATTACGGAAAATTACATAAACCATTAGGTAGCCAAATGATGACATGAGAACAAGACTTTCAGCTCTGCATTTGAATATCTAGTCCAAAATTCAATGCGAAAACTGTCTAATTTTAACCACCTTGTTCAAGGCAGAGTTAGCTCTTTGGACCCATTCAGTATCCTTGTTGGAACCAAGCACTGAATAAGCTGCTGAAAGATCATTCTTTTCTAATGCTTGGCCTGTTTCACTGAGTTTATAAACAAGATCTTGCAGGTAAGCTGCAACATCAAAATAATAATTATAAATAGTTATATCGGAGCTCAGGCAAAAATGATGCCTTGATTAGTCCATGTTCTAGTGTATACAAAACTCAAATAATATGTCCTTGGTGATAAGTATATGTGTAAAATATATAATGGAACTTTTGCTTCATCAATCAGTTGTACATATGGTTTTTAGCCCAATACATCATCCAGTGCCTTGAGTACATAGAAGCACAAAATGACCCATGCAGCCTTGTTTTAACGTTTAGGACAGCTATTCCAAGAATGAACACTTAATTTGATTTGGAAGCAGGATATTTAGAAGCAAATAAAAAAAAAAAATGAAAATTCATAATAGCTTTCAACCCTTCAAACTCCCTTTCCCCACCCCAACTTCCCTCTAATATTTATCAATGTTGGTGGCGGTGGTGCCATTGTTCGTAAAAAGAATATTTCTTACGTCATATGGTGAAGTCAAGCTTCAGATTTTTCAAAATATTATTACCAATAACAAAAGAAATTTTGAAAATGATAGAAGGAAATTACACTATTGTCAAACTCCTAAACAGGGTATATCCATATGGCACACGATTGTAATATCATCAACCACGTTTCTCTTTGGAGAGTAGGAGCATCTGAACTATGGATACGTTACAATACATAAAGATAAATATAGATAATTATACATACAGGCTGTATTGTAACACATAAATATGTACAAGTATACATGCATATCAATCAGAACTACCAAAGGCATTGCATAAAAGATAAATATACATTTAAAGTATCACATAAATAAAAAGTTGGACCTGTTTCGGTAGTTGATGAGCTGATAACACCTTGTTTCTCAAGCCTCTTTTTCCTGTCTTTTTTTACCTTCTCCAGTAATTCTTCATCGTCATCGGCCTCCAGAATAGCAGCGTTGGCTGTATAACAACCACCTAATTTATAAGCATCCACCAAATTACTTAAAAGCAATGTGGTGGTAGCGGTTATGTTAAGAGAAATGCTTCTCCGGCTGATAACGACATTGTTGGCAGTGGCGGCAGCCTCATCTCCTGATTTGCATACAATCTTCACTCTTGTTAGATATATTGATGTTGATGAACAACAAGATGAAGATGCCATTTTTTGTTCCTTACAATTAATTTTCTCATGCACATTGCCTTTAGTTAGGTTTTTCGACATTTTTATATTCATGTGATTTATGCACACCTTTATTTGTAGTGGTCTTCTGATGGCAAAGAATGAGGATGACATGGCTCTTGGCACCACCAAAAAGGTAAAAATACTGCTGTTTAGACCGTAGTTTTCTGTTTTAGGGTTTTAACAAGGTTCGCATGGTAACATATTATTCCAAAATTTACAATATTTGAGACTGAAGACGTAACCTATAGAGGTTCATATAATTGTAGTCAGCTTGGGTGCTCTCAGGTCATCCTCACGACCCTAAGAGGAGATTAACCAATCCTCTATCTTTCAATCTACTCATTCATAATAGCAGAGGCTTTGGGACAGACAGGTCGCTAGGTGAAGTCATATTATGAATGAATCATAAGTATAACTCGCACTCAAGCGAAAATAGAGGCGCTGGCATGGCAAGAAAGAATCATTTACCATTGAGCCACTGTGAGAAGAAAAAGATGGGTGTTTCTACATCTGGAACAAAGATGCATGATTTTCTTGGAGAGCAAGAGGATGTTCTGATCAAAGACTACAAACGAAGATTATAAGTATCTTGGCAGCATTGTCTTAGACAATGACTGCTGATGCACTGTTGGGAGATCCTTAGAGATTGAAGCTCGACTAAGTTTGCATTTCTGAAAAGAGAAAGTGGAACAACAGTAGCCGTGGAAATGCCAAAAATATCCCAAAAGGCTAACTGAAGATTGCAGCAAAATACACAAGCAAGGTTTTAAATAGCGGGCTAAAACGTTTATGGCACTGCAGCTATAGCGGAGCTATAGCGGAGATTTAGCGGGATTTAGCGGCTAAATTGCACATGAATACAAATAGCGGCACGCTGCCAAGAAAAGCTATTTCTCAAATAGCGGCAACTTTAGCGAGCTATTTATTTCCTTGACACAAGAGAATTGGCCACCGTAGTAATGTGGAAAAATACAAAGGGGTGAATGTTTGATAGCAAGATACCTTCTTTTTTCTATCAGCAAACCATTAATATTGATAACATTCTTGAAGAAAAAGAAAGATGAAAGAAAGAAGTATATGTGATTTCCCTTCAAAAGAAAAAAAATAAAAAACAAAGAAATATATGACAATGAAGTAATAATAACACCCTTGAATCGTAAAAGAAGAATGATAACAGAAAGAGAGAGAGAGAGAGAGAGAGAGAGAGAGAGAGAGAGCAGGAGAGAGGGAAAAGAAGAAAAGAAAATGCGGCCCAACTAGGAAGCAACACTAACACGAGAACAGGATCTCTGTTGAAGATTTTGAGAACCCTTAATAATATAGCATATAATCTGTTTCAGAGAACTAATTTGCAATCGGGTATAGATATGATAGATCACAGGTTGTCCCATACCTTCTGTCTGATATGTGTGGAACCAAACCAGGTCTTTTTCGGTTTGTGATAACCTAAAAATATAAAAAACCCGCACGCGATAACCTAAACATTCAGCACGACGACGATAAGCTCACAAAATGTGGCTGTTTGGAGCTTAAAACCCACTCAAGGCCATTTCATATAAAATTAAGTTGAAAAAAAAAATAATAATAATAAATCCCCTGCATTACTGCAAACTAATTTCCCAATGCCCATGAGGAAAATGGAAAATACTCAACAGAAATTACTCACTAACATTCTATCAAACCAATAATAATCCAACAGCCACTACAAATTCCAACTCGCAAAGTTAAACCAAACCAATTCAAAGACAGATAATGTAACACAGTAAACCATCCAAAATTAATCTGTTTCACAAACCAAGTAATAAGTAAATATTCGCATGTTTCAAGAAAAATACTTCATGAAAAAAGAGAAATCAGTAAAAAAAAAATAATAAACAAATTAGAGAGCTAAAAGGCATTGTACCCTTGAGCAGCTTGAACGGGGCGGACGAGAGGGAAGGACGATTGGGTAAGGAGCAGAAAACGGCGCAATTCCTCGTCGCCGTGAGACTGTTCATCCACACGGCGGTGGCTGCCATTGAAGTCCGCTGCCACTGTTAGGCTGAAGAACACCGAAAAAAAAAAAAAAAAAAATAATCTAAAAGCCTCAATTTCTTTATCTCCTTTTTATTTTATTTTTGGGAATGATTATTTTTTGCTATCCACAATTAAATTTTGGGGGTGGGGCTGGTCTGAGTGATGGACAGGTGGATGAATTGGACGTCCTGATTGGTCCGTTCTCTATCAGGAAAATCTACTCTATTTTCGTCTCGCATATGCCATGTCATTTCACGGTTGAATAAAGGAAACTGTATTACCTTTTAAAAATACTAGTCGTGGTCCGTGCGATGCACGAAATGATATATTTTATTGGAATATTTATATTCAATATTAAAATTGATAGACGTGTTATATACGTAACCAAAGTAAACGTGTCACATACAATCTAAGAAATCATAAATTATTGAACACTTGTTTGTACACAAAGTTTTTTGTTTGATTTCATGGCGAGTCATCGTCACCATAGAATAATATTTTAAAATTATTTTGGTTGGTGACACGGGAGACAATAACGTATAACTACTCATGACCGAAAACTGGTTTGTTAATAAATAAACTTGTGCTAACGATTGTCCCTTATCTCTTGTTTACATCATGACGTACGAAACTATAATGAGAAACTGTCGCCGTTGTACCTCGATATGAATACTAACATCGGAAAGAGTTATAGTCATTCTAGGAATCAACACCTTATGCGTAGTTCCATGTGATTATCTTACACTCGAGAGAATGAATGCAAACAACCATCCGAGTGGGCACTCATTTGAGTTCCTAATTGAGACGAGCTCAATTTCATCAACCAAGCCTATGACATCTAACAAATCCATAAAACATCTAATTATAATAGGAAAACACATTAAGATTCAAAAGTTAATAGTGGACTAAATTGTTGAACATACTAAAACCTCTAATTTGAATGGGAAAACACATTAAGGTTCAAAATTTAATAGTTGATTAAATTGTTGAACTTACCAAAAAGGATGGGTTCATCAACATTGAAAACTGTTGATTTTTCCCAGGCTAACTCGAAATTATTTCCAACATATTCTAGTACTTAGCATCAATTTTTCGCTCACATATGCGGACAACCCTTGATTTCAAGTGTGACTTATTGGTTCAGAAAACGGACTTGAGATCACCGCACACAAATAGGATTTTTATGTGTTGAAAATATTAGAATAGAATAATCTATACGATGTTGAAATAATGAATCTTGTTTAAATGATTGTGCTATTGACCACTTATATAGGTAAATGAACTAAAAAAAATAAAATATGGAATCTTCGCCTATTGTAATAATTGTGATATTTAATGTTTTCTAAATGTTATTTGTTTGAAGTGTTAACGTGAAGTGAAATAGTAGTCATCGGCTGAGAAAAAAAATGTCAAACCCGAGCCCCGCCGCCCTTGACGGCACCACGACCGGAGACATTGCCGGCAACCTTACCTCGGCTCTCTCTGCAGGTACTACTACCTTCGACCCAGGCGATGGCCCTCACCACGCAATTAATAACTCAGAATTCCCGGCTCTAGACCGCAACACCCTGCCGACTTCCAAGAGATCCAAAGTGCGCAGACGGTCAGAGGAGGTTTGGGAACAGCAGGCCTTTTCGTTTCCATAGGCCCAGCCACCTCCGCAGGAATAGCCTGCCAAGGGCCCACCGCCGCCGAGATGGACCTTTCGCGACATGGTCAACAAACAAAAACACCATGTGGAACTGACCTATGATGATGAGGGGAAGGTCGACGAGCCTGAAGAGGATGTCTCGGTGGACTTCTCAAGACAGCTGCCGGCGATCAAGATTGCTCCACGCTTCTTTGACCATATTAGTGCAGAATGGCAAAATGTCGTTGTCTTCAAGCCATTCGATGAATCGCTCACGATGTCGTCTCTTTATAATCGGTTGACGAAAATGTGGCCGTTTATGGCCGGCTGTAATATGATGGATCTTGAGAACGGGTTTTACCTCGTCCATCTTCACACTCTCGACGATAAGGTCCAGGTCCTTACTGGTGGCCCGTATGTCATTGGAGGAAGCTATATGCATGTTCAGCCGTGGACCATTGAGTTTGACGCGACTAAGGAGGAGCTCACGTCTACGGTTGCGTGGATTCGTCTTCCCGATTTGTCGGCCCATTTGTACCACAAGAAGATATTTCGCACCATTGGCCGCATGGTGGGAAAAGTTGTCAAAATTGATCAACAAACTGCGGCTCGGACTCGAGGGAAATTTGCTCGTCTTGCGGTAACGGTGGATTTAACAAAGCCTCTTTGTGTGCAGTTCACTATCGATGGGAAACACCAGCGTGTGGTGTACGAGAATTTACCTACCATCTGCTTTCAGTATGGTAGGATTGGCCATTCGAGTGCCGGGTGTCTCCACAACCCGCCACCCCAGGATAAACTGACATGCAAAGCAACCACGACAGCTTCAGAGAACGTTATGGAGGGGCCAACAGGCAGTACTTCCGCGGACCCAAACGATACTGTCAACAGAAGGGCAGACCCGACCTACGGTCCATGGATCCAAGTTCCCCAACACACACGTAAACCCTACACGAGACGAGACAAGGGACGGAAACAATGCCGAAATCGAATTCCACTACACCGCATGTGGGGCAAGGTTCTCGTTTTAATCTGTTAAGCCGTGAGGACGCGAGGGTGCATGCCCCAGCTTTTGAGTTTGGAGCTCCCTCCACGAGCAAATCTGGGGCAGTAACTATGACCCCGTCACGGAATACAGGAGATAAGGGAGGGCGAGAGTGGCGTACGGTCACCGGAAAGGGCATGCGTGCTGGAAAAGCCAAAGTTGGCCCCGCGCAGCGTGAGTTAATTACCGGGCGTGACAAGGAGATTAGACGTGAGGGCACTAATGCTAAAACCGCTGCTGGGACCCAACCCATCTCTACTGGGATTGGAGAGCTTTCACGAACCCCACCCCAACGACTTACCAATACGAATCAGCTCCCGATTGGGGCTGGAATTGACCCCTCCAAACACCGTGCCGTAGTTGTGCTAGATGACCTGACACACACCACGACATTTCGGGATGTCCCCCTCCTCCGAGTGGCATACCTTTCGGGGATGAGGTCATGGGGGAGGACGAGCACCACATCCGACACCAGGATCCTTGGCCAGAGGACCCGCCTTACCATTCAGAGTCGGAGGAGAGTCCGGGCGCTGTTAGCCAAAGTGAGAGCATGGAAGGCATAGTGGGAGTACAGGACCAGCACCTGGACTAGAGAGTGGGACACCTCTCTTGCCACATGGTTTCCAATGAATGTTATCACATGGAATGTCCAAGGAGCAGGTTCGCCTGAGTTTCGGGGTGCCTTCTCTACCTTAGTGCAACAGTATAAACCAGATGTGGTGGCGATCCTAGAACCGCGTATTAGTGGGGAGAATGTCGATACATTCGTGAGATTCAGCAAATTCGGGAACTCGTTTCGTGTGGAGGCTCAAGGGTTCTCGGGAGGCATATGGATCCTGTGGACGGATGACGTTCGTGTGGATGTCTTGTCCTTCAATCGCCAAATGGTTCATGCCCGGGTGTCCACGTATGTGGAGAGCTGCCTGGTGACTTTTATTTATGCCAGTCCACAAGCCCCGTCTCGTATTAAGTTGTGGACTTCATTGGAGGAGCTTGGCACCCAAATATCCAAGCTCTGGCTCATAGGGGGCGACTTTAACTGCCTCCTTCGTCGCTCTGAGAAAATTGGTGGCTCCACTAGACATTGTAACATCAGTACGGAGTTCGCTGATTGGATCTTCAATGCAGGCCTCCAGGAGGTAGCTATAGACGACCATCTATTCACTTGGGTCCGCGATACCCAGCAAGGTCGAGTGGCTGAAAACTTGACAGATTCATAGCTAATGTACCGTGGGTTGAGAAATATGACTTGAGTCGGGTTCGCCTCCTCCCTCGATTCAATTCTGACCACTCTCCACTCATGGTTGCTTTGGGTGGACGGGAGCAGCCGCCACGTGGAGCTAAACCTTTTCGGTTCTTAGCTGCCTGGCTCCTCCATCCGGACTTTAGTTCCATGCTATAAGGTGTGTGGCATCCTTCCCTGGGTTTTGTCGAAGCGGCGGATAAGTTCGCGGCCGCGGCTAAGGAATGGAATTTTCACGTGTTCGGGAATATCTTTCAGCGGAAAAAGCGGCTATTGGCCCGTCTAGGAGGTATTCAGTAGAGCCGCCAATTCTATGTAAATAGTCGACTCATGGCCCTCGAAAAGCAACTACAGCAGGAACTTGAAGAAGTCACTGTGCAAGAGGAGTTGCTATTACTTCAAAAAGCTAGTCGGGATTGGGCCTACCTGGGGGACAGAAGTACATCGTATTACCACAGGCAGCTTAAATACCGACGGAGGCGTAGCAAGATTTTAGAGTTGACAGATGCTGATGGGCATCAAATTTCAGATCAAGAGGCTCTCCGGGCTCTAGCGACGGGTTTCTTTCGGGACATTTACACAGCTGGGCCGCCCCCAATGTTGCCTGAGACCGGCGTGAATCTTTTCCCTATTTCTGATGGGGCCGAGATGGAGGATTTGGGTTCCGATATCACAGATGACGAGGTCTCCGGAGCCCTTTTTACCATGGGCTCGTTAAAAGCACCGGGCCTGGATGGACTAAATGCTCTATTTTTCAAAAAGAATTGGGATACCGTGGGCCCTGCGGTCCGTGCTCTAATTACGAAGATGTGGCAGGATGGTGATGTCCCTACCCAAGTGAATCAAACCTTACTCATCCTAATTCCTAAACTGGAGAACCTTACTACAATCCGCCACTTCTGCCCCATTAGCCTTCTTAATGTGGTGTACAAGTTGTTCACCAAAATCCTAGTGAATAGAATGAAGAACTTGTTGCCAAGGCTCATCCATCCAGCACAATCGAGCTTTGTTCCGGGGAGACAGATAACAGACAACATCATAGTGGCACAGGAGCTAATCCACTCGACGTGTGGGATGCGAGGAA